TGCAACAGCAATTTTCTCCCTCTTTTTTCAAGGGATTATTTTACTCCTTTGTTCCGAGAAATTATAGATTCATCTAAAAACAGTGTAACAGTGCCACCTACTGCGCTTTGCAAGTTGTAGGAAATAAAAAAACCCCAAACATTGTTTGGAGAGTCAAATTCATACATGGTGGGTGGGGCTTAAATCTGGAGGAATATGTCCTTCTGCCACCTAATGAGGAAATGTTGCCAGTCTGATGATGTGGTGCAGGTTTTGAGCCGGTGACTGATTTGTTGAAATGGCTAAGAGTGAATAAAATGAAAATGAATCCCAACAAGACACAGGTAAAGTATGAAGAACATATTCAGAAATGTGACATGGTGCAATCCTTCCTGGGGCTGTATCACTTCAGGATGCACATGGGAGTATGTTTAAACCCTGGGCTGGTGCCTAGATGCAGTTTTGAAGTGGACGTGGGCTAATAAACTGAAGCTTAATCCTGACAAGATGGAAGTGCAACTGAAGACCTGACCTGGGATTTAAGGTGTCACTATTCCAGCTCAGGTTGCACTCCCCTTGAAAAAACAGTAGAAAAGAGCAAGAGTCCAGTAGCACCTTAAGGACTAACAAAATATGTGGCAGGGTATGAGCTTTCTCACTGCTCACTTCTTCAGATACTGAAGAATCTGAAGAAGTGTGAGCAGTATCTAAAGAAGTGAGCAGTGGTTCGCGAAAGCTCATGCCCTGTCACATTTTTTTGTTAGTCTTTAAGGTGCTACTAAGGAGCTGCGGTGGCTCAAGTGGTTAAGACGCTGAACTGCAGGCTGTGAAAGGTCAGTAGTTCAGCAGTTCGAGATCCGAATTGCCGCATGACGGAGTGAGCTCCCGTCTCTAGTTCCAGCTCCTGCCAACCTAGCCGTTCGAAAGCAAGAAATTGCAAGTAGATAAATAGGTACCACTTCAGTGGGAAGGTAACAGCGTTCTGTGCACCTTGGTGTTTAGTCATGCCGGCCACATGACCATGGAAACGTCTTCGGACAGCGCTGGCTCTTCAGCTTTGAAACGGAGATGAGCACCGCAACCCTAGAGTCGGATTCGACTGGCTTTCGTGCAAGGGAACCTTTACCTTTACTTTAAGGTGCTACTGGACTCTTGCTCTTTTCTACTGCTACATACAGGCTAACATGGCTACCCATCTTGATCTATCTCCATGGTGGGGAAGAATTTTGTCCTCCCTGGACATCCAGAAATAGGCTTAAAAGCTGTAATACTTCAGAAAAGTTTCAAAAGGCGACTCCAGCTAAAAACTGCAGAACTTCATATCCAGGAATGCACTGTCATACTTGAACTCAATAAAAACTTGGAATGGTTAGTTCAGTAAAGAAAATAATTATTCCTCCTAACTGGTTTCAATATGCTATTCAGATGTACTCTATTTAGCTAATTCATCAGCAGCAGACAGTGGTCCAGGCCACTCTGAGTTGACAGTTTCTTTTTTTACTACTTCATGTAATGTAACACACCTTGTTGCCCTGGGAAACTGGGCATTCTGATGTCTTTCCCTCCCCCTCACTATTCTGCTGTCTGTAGCTCTGGCTATAAATCTGTGTGCCAACTAAGCAGGGGTCATTTCGTAGAAAAAGAGCTAGGGGGACTCATTAGCATAACTCATTAGCATATGCCACACCCCCTGACATCACCAGAAGTGTGTCATAAGGCCACACCCTCTGACATCACTGGGGTTCAAAATTCCTAAGGAGGAGGCAGGGGATCTCCCCCTTTCATGGGCTCCTGCCTGCCCCCCAGGCAGGCAGGGGTGGGGAGAGGCAGGGAGGAAGCAACTTACCCTCCCTCTTCTCCTGCCTCCTCCTGGTTGAATGAGGGCCGGAAGCAGGGCGGCCGGAAGCAGGGGGCGGGGCTTCGTCCCCCCACGTTCCCCCCCCCGAAATGACCTCTGCAACTAAGTGTAACACTTCATGTGTCTCACAAAAAGGGATCTGTTTCATGAAATCTTCTGCAACAAAAAAAAATCATAGGTCTTCAAGATGCCACAAGACTCTTCATTATTTTGGCTCCAGCAGAATGCCATGCCTATCCCTGTAGAATTCAGTTTAAGGGATAATTGGTTTAATGATCCCCCCCCTTCTGAATGGGAGACAGATCTTGGCAAGTAAATTCAAGCTATATACCACTTATGTCATCACTAGATAAAAATATTAAAACTATCAGCAAAGCAGCAAAATAGAGTTCATAAAAAAGATATTCCCCCCCCCGCCCCCGCCGCCGCAGTCAGAAGAAAGAGACAAACACTGGATTGGGTTTAACTATGGGCCACTTTATTGAATATTTACAGCTTTTGTGGCAAGGGCCAATCCCCAAGTGTGGGAAAAGGTCAAGGCCATAGGTCGCTCTAGACCACCTCCTTGCCATCCGCCACCTTTGCCCTGGGTGCGAGCCATTCCTCTAGCTTGACACCAGCCAGCATAGCAAACAAGACACTGCCCTGGAGCTCCCCCCGCAAGCCACAAAACTTGGAGGGAAGATGACTACCCAGGTCAGTCCCAGCCAAAGGTTGAGCCTGACAGACCCCTTGACCCTCAATAGGGAAGGTGCCATACGGTGCTCACTGGGTTCACTATTTCCCTCACCAACCTGCCAAGTGACCAATCCAGTTTAAAGCACCACCACATCCAGTTCCCCAACTTAACTGATAGTACAAGGTAGGCAAAAACACACACACCCTTACCTGCCAATCAACTAATCAAAAGAGGGGTGAAAAATTCCTACCTGGCCCCAAAACAGTGACCAGCCGAAGCCTGTACTGCCTACAGGGAGGGAGGGAGGGTGGGCCATATGAGGTGAAAGAGGCTTAGTTAGGGGCGGAGCCATGCTTAAATACTAACCGGCTCTGCCCCTCTGCCCGGATGCCACTACGCAGGCGTCATGCTCACCTGCTTCTCCTCCTTCCAGGGGAGGTAAAGATTGCTCTCGCCATGGCTGGAAGGAGCCAGAATGTTTACACAAAGAGACTGTTAAAGGGAAGTGAAGCATGGAAACAAAGAAAACCAAAAGCACAGTTTTATAAAAGATCTTTATTAATCATGCTCTCTTTTCTTAGTACTCAGTTGCTTCCTCTGTTTTGAGTGTTTTCGTAGTCATGAACTCTCACAACAGGAAATGGCAGGCATAATATACTATAATGTTATGGCTGCTTATCCAGTCTTCTTCACAGACAAGTGCACTGGCAAGAACATTAGATTAAATGCGCGATTAAGAAGGCGGAAATGCATTGGTGGAAGGGGAGCCAATGTCTTTGCCACAATCACTATTGATACCAAGAGTTTTGTCCTCATATCATACTGTTTGATTATGGGAATTGGGAGTGTTGAAGAGACTAATGAAGTGCTTCCTTAAGAACATAAGAGAAGCCAATGTTGGATCAGGCCAGTGGCCCATCCAGTCCCACACTCTGTGTCACACAGTGGCCAAAAATACCAGGTGCCATCAGGAGGTCCAGGGGCCAGGACACTAGAAGCCCTCCCACTGTTGCCCCCTCCCAAGCACCAAGAATACAGAGCATCACTTGCCCCAGACTGAGAGTTCCTATCTATACCTTCTGGCAAATAGCCACTGATGGACCTGTGCTCCATATGTTTATCCAATTCCCTCTTGAAGCCATTCATGCTTATAGATGCCACCACCTCCTGTGGCAGTGAATTCCATATGTTAATCACTCTTTGGGTGAAGAAGTACTCCCTTTTATCTGTTCTAACCCAACTGCTCAGCAATTTCACACTAGCTCACACTAACTTAGCTTAGAGGGAACACTGGTGCCCACAAGTTCTTGTATTGTGAGAAAGCGAGAAAAGCACTTCTTTCTCTACCTGCTCTATCCCATGCATAATCTTGTAAACCTCGATCATGTCACCCCTCAGTCATCATTTCTCCAAGCTAAAGAGCCCCAAGTACTTTAACCTTTCTTCATAGGGAAAGTGTTCCAACCCTTTTATTATTCGAGTTGCCCTTTTCTGCACTTTTTCCAAAGCTATAATATCCTTTTTGAGGTGTGGTGACCAGAACTGATGCATCACAGTTTAAACTGCTCTACTAACAGCAGAAGATGGAAATAGGAGAGGACAAACAGATGCCCCTAGGCCCCTGCAAGGTTTTGTTCAGAACTTTCTGTGACCACAGAGCAACTCAGCCAATGCCTTGATTGAGGAGTGAACTGGCTCAACAGCTGATTTCATGTCCAGTTACCACCGCCTGCCTCCTCATCCTCTTTTTCATTGTCTCCCACCCCATTTCTTTCATTATCATCCTGTTTCCTCCACCTATGTTTTCCTTGACCGATTTCACACAAGAGCTGTGCCGCGGGCGCACCTCCCTTTGCCCCGCTTCTATTGGTCAATTTCCCACTCGAAGCCACACGGAGAAAATCGGGCAAAGCCGCGGGTCAAAATGCAGCCGCACGGCTTCGAGTGGGAAATTGACCAATAGAAGCGGGGCAAAGGGAGGCGCAACCGCGGCGCAGCTCTTGTGTGAAATTGGTCCTTGTCTTCTGGGCCCGTTGCTTCTCTCTATTTGCTACTTCCTGCACGCCTATCCCTTTAATTGTGTTCTACAAAAGAGAGAATCGATTTGTTTCATCTTCAGTCTCAGTCATTTGAGGTAACAGATGTTTCTGCTGATGCAAAATGAAAAGGGTACTTTAAAACCACTCATATTCAAATTGGCATCTACAACAAAAAAAAACCCTCATAGAACTCAGTTTTACAGAGCCATTTCATGCCTTTGAAATACTCACTGAGTGATACTGCAGGTCAATAAACAGCCAGGTCTATCCAGATATTAAGATAATTTAAGACCTGTGCTGTACAGTAGGAAATCAAATATACAAGAATTTATCTCAAGAAATATCATACCTAGCAGTTTAATCCCAATCAGCCAATACAAAATGTCAGAGGGAATGAGGTATTTCATTATCACTTGTCATCCTTCTCCTGAGTCTTCCTTCCAAGTCAAACTGAGACTGCCCCAGGCACTACCTTACGGATGTACGTGTAGGACTTCCGGAGGGTGACACTTCCATGATGAGATACTCCACGAGGGAGGACACATTCCTCAGTTAACTTCTGAGTCTCTGCATCCCAACATAACACCGTGGCAATGACTTCATTCTTTTCATCTCGACCTCCGGTGATGAACAGCTTGTTGTTGCAAGGGGCAATTCCACAGCTTGCTCGTTCGTGGTTTAACTGAGTCACCAGGCACCATGTGTCCATGAGTGGGCTATAAGAGTAGAGTGCCCTCATGGTCCCACCTGGAATACAAAGAGAGCAAATTATTCCTTCCAGATAGCTCCTTAAGAAATACAAAGACTCAGTCCAATAGGTTATTGTTAGATTTCCTACCCTCTTTAACATAAAAAGGACTTGAGCTGGAGTCCAGGAGCACCTTTAAGACCAACAAAGTTTTATTCAAGGTATAAGCTTTCATGTGTGTAAGCACACTTCTTCAGATACAACAAAATGGAAATTACCAGTTCATACATATAGGAGGAGAGTGGAAGCAGTAAATTAGCATATGGTATAATGAAGATGTTTAACAGATTCAAGGACCAAACAGGAATAACAAGTTTAGTTTATATGCTTATCATGTGTTTAGGTTTAATTTGACGGGGGGATGACATAATGAAGGAAATAAATATGTCAAAATTGGAGACTGATGGGCAGTAAGGTAAAGGTTTCCCTTGCTCAAAAGCTAGTCGAATCCGACTCCAGGGGGCAGTGCTCATCTCCATTTCCAAGCCAAAGAGCCAGCGCTGTCTGAAGACGTTTCTGTGGTCATGTGGCTGGCATGACTAAATGCCGAGGTGCACAGAACACTGTTACTTTCCCACCGAAGTGGTACCTATTTATCTACTTGCATTTTCTTGCTTTTGAACTGCTAGGTTGGCAGGAGCTGGGGCCAGAAACAGGAGCTCATTCCATCACGTGGCACTAGAGTCTCAAACTGCTGAACTACAGAACTTCCAGTCTGCAGGCCAGCGTCTTAACCCATGAGTCACCGCAGCCTCCTTGATGGGCAGATGTATCCTTAATTGTGGAATACTGAGAGTAATTAACTGAGACCCTGCCATTACACTCTGTCCATCTCCTCTCAAGCATGGAGGCAACTTTACAGCATCTTCTTTGAAGTGGGGTGATTGGCCATGTAATCCCCCCTGTTCCCAGACCAGAGAAATACATTCCAATCTTCCATTCCAAATTACATTTTTACATTACTATTCATTACATTACAGTCTACTATTCTAAGCTATTATTCCAAATAAGAAATCAAAATAAAATAAAGGGGATGTATGGCCTTTCTGGGGGATTGGTGAGAATACAGATATAAGTGCTGAATGAGGTTAGCCTATGTAGTGAGATAAGAAACCAATCTCCCTGCTAAGTCATGGGGATTCCATTGTTTTGAGTGCTGTAATAACTTCTAACTCAGCAATTTCCCTTTCCATTCTGTTCCTGAAGTTCCTTTGCAATAAAATAGCTATATTGAGGTCACCCATTGAATGTCCTGGAAGTTTGAAGTGTTCTCCTACAGGTTTCTCAGTCTTGTGATTCTTGATGTCAGATTTGTGTCCATTATCCTTTGGGCCTGTTTGACCTGTTTGCCCTATGTAGAAAACCAAAGAGCACTGTTGGCATTTAATGGCACATACAAAGTTAGAAGATGAGCATGTGAATAAGCCTGAGATGGTTTAGTTGATGTTATTAGGTCCAGTGATTCTGTTGTCCGGGGGGGCGGTAGCAAAGTTGGCATCTGGGTTTATGTTCATGCCCCCCAGTGTCATTATCCAGTAGAGGTTGTATTATCCAGTAGTAGAAGAAGATGCTGTAAGGTCGCCTCCACGCTTGAGAGGAGACAGAGAGTAATGGCAGGGTCTCAGTTAATTACACTTAGGTAAAGGTAAAGGTTCCCTTGCTCGAAAGCCAATCGAGTCCGACTCTAGGGTTGCAGTGCTCATCTCCGTTTCAAAGCCGAAGAGCCAGCGCTGTCTGAAGACGTTTCAGGAGCTGGAACTAGAGACGGGCATTCCACAATTAAGGATATATCTGCCTATCTGTCTCCAATTTTAACATATTTATTTCCTTCACTATGCCCCCCCCCCGAATTAAACCCAAACAAATGGTAACCATATAAATTAAGCTTGTTCTTTCTGTTTGGTCCTTGAATCTGTTAAACATCTTCATTATGCCATTTGCTAATTTACTGTTCATCCTCTACCTATATGTATGGACTGGTAATTTCCAGTCATTGTATTTGAAGAAGTGAACTTTGTCTTAAAGGTGCCACTGGACTCAAACTCTGTTCTGCTGCTTCAGATCAACGTGGCTACCCACCTGAATAAAAAGAACATGGCATTGTTACTCTGATCAGTCTAGAGAAGGGTTTAAACCTAGTATAAAATGTTCACCCCATAAACATCAAAAGGACACTTGGAGTCTTGCACACCGTTTCAGCCTTCCACTGTATTGTGAGACCTTTCAATATGCTAGACAAGTAAAAGTCTTCAAAGCAGACTGAGCCAGAACATAAAGGCAGCAGTAGACCACAAGGTATCAGTTCAATCACATGATCTTTTATTTTTGTTTTTATTGTCATTTCTGACAATAACAACAATTTAGTGTTGTTGGCACCTCTAGTTGACATATATACAGTCAATGCCCAAAATGTGATGGATGCTAACATTATATTGTGACTGCTGACCCTAAACAAATTTTGTGAACACCTGAAAATAGAATGTGGACTGTCATCTAAAGGTGACGGTCACTGTCACTAACAATTTCTTGTGTGAGTCCAAAAGCACCAGAACATTGATTTTCTAGAATTCACAAAATACATCTAGAATTATCGTAATTCACAGGTTTTGGATATTTATTCCCATATATACATGACCAAACATTTATTAATGTCATACCACCAAGCGGTTAATTAATAGCATTGGGTTAGATTTAGTGGTTCCTGTTGTGAGAAAAATGAAATAGTTGGTTCAGAAAATTTAAAACCCATTCATACAGTTAATTTTATAAAGAAATCATAGAGTTTTTCCCTCTTCTCTATTTCTGTAACTTTCCAAGCAGCAAGCAGCACAGTTAACATGACTCCCAACATGAACATAAGAGACGCCAATGTTGGATCAGGCAAAGGCCCATCCAGTCCAACACTCTGTGTCGCACAGTGGCCAGAAATACCAGTGCCATCAGGAGCCAGGAGTGGGGCCAGGACATTAGAAGCCCTCCCACTGTTGGCCCCCCCAAGCACCAAGAAGACAGAGCATCACTTGCCCCAGAGTCCCTATCTATACCTTGTGGCTAATAGCCACTGATGGACCTCTGCTCCATATGCTTATCTAATTCCCTTTTGAAGCCGTCCATGCTTGTAGCCGTCACCACTTCCTGTGGCAGTGAATTCCATGTCTTAATCACTCTTTGGCTGAAGAAGTACTTCCTTTTATCTGTTCTAACCCAACCACTCAGCAATTTCATTGAGTGCCCACGAGTTCTTGTATTGTGAGAAAGGGAGAAAAGTACCTCTTTCTCTACTTTATTGCAGTCACACACTGTCTCGACATTTTCAGTGAGTTATCCACTACAACTCCAAGATCTCTCTCTTGCTCAGTCTCTGCCAGTTCAGACCCCATCAATGTGTATTTATATTTAGGATTTTTGGCTCCAATGTGCATCACCTTGCACTTGGCCACATTGAACCCCATTTGCCATGTTGACGCCCACTCGCCCATCTTTGACAGATCCCTTTGGAGTGCCTCACAATCCTCACTGGTTTTCACCACCCTGAACAACTTTGTATCATCTGCAAATTTAGCCACTTCACTGCTTACTCCCATCTCCAAATCATTAATGAACAAGTTAAAAAGCAGTGGACCAAGTACTGATCCCTGCGGTACCCCACTGCTTACCACCCTCCACTGAGAAAATTGCCCACCTACACTCACTCTCTGTTTTCTATGAACTAGCCAGTTTTTGATCCATAAAAGGACTTGTCCTTTTATCCCATGATTTTTGAGCTTACTTATGAGCCTTTGATGAGGAACTTTATCAAAAGCTTTCTGGAAGTCAAGGTAAACAATATCTATTGGATCCCCCTTGTCCACATGTTTGTTCACCCCCTCAAAGAACACTAATAGGTTAGTGAGACAAGATCTTCCCTTACAGAACCCATGTTGAGTCTGCCTCAATAGGTTTTGTTCATCTATGTGCCTACTAATTCTTTCCTTAATAATGGTTTCCACCAATTTACCCGGTATCGACGTCAGACTGACTGGCCTGTAATTTCCCGGATCTCCTCTGGAACCCTTTTTAAAGATGGGAGTGACATTAGCTACCTTCCAGTCCTCAGGAATGGAGGCAGATTTTAAGGAAAGATTACATATTTTTGTCAGGAGATCCACTAGTTCACATGTGAGTTCTTTCAGAACTCTCGGATGTATGCCATCTGGGCCTGGTGATTTATCAGTTTTTAAGTTGTCTATCAGTGTTCGGACCTCCTCTCTCGTCACCTCAATCTGACTCAGGTCTTTCAACACCCCTCCTGAAACCAGCAGTTCTGGAGTGGGCAAGCACTTCTCATCTTCCACAGTGAAGACAGAGGCAAAAAATGCATTTAGCTTCTCAGCCATTTCCCTAGCCATTTGCTAGTCCTTTGTCTCAAGAGATACCTTTCCTCCATCACGTACACAGAAACCAACATTTGCATTCACCTACATTGTTCATGAATCTAAAGAATTTGGAAACATTTAGAAATAAAGGATTGGTATGCACCTGCCATTAAGTCAAGGAAACCAGAATATTTGCAATACTAAAGGTTTGCCTACATGACAAAACTCACATCACACCTCCAGCCAGGAGACAGTGCCTGACTGGCTACCTTGCTTCAAGAAAACAAAGAACATCCTGAAACTGTAACATTCTTGTGTTTGTCATTTAGAAATTTAGATGCTATCTTGCATTGCTTTGCTAAAGCATCAGGGTAACCCCATCGCCTCTGGAATGTGGGAACATTGCCTATGCCATAATGGCCCACATTACCAAGCAGTTAGATTAATTGATGCGGTTTATAATTTCTATAGCTCTATTGAAATGTATGTGACCAACATGGTATAAAAGAAGGCACAAAGCTCCATTTCACCACTGACTCTCAGAGATCCAGGGAAGGCTCTGTCTTTCATGTTCTCCCTGGGCCAGTCCAGAAGCTTCTGTGCATGGGGAAATCTTTGTTCTGTATATTTAACCACTGACTATCTTTTTTTAGGAAGTAAGTACTCTGTTTTGTATTCTTTGTTTGTCTTTTAGCTTGATAAGTCTAATAAACAATTTTATTGTTTAAATAACCTTGTGTTGCATTCCAGCTAACTTTTAACATTCTACCCTCGCCTTGGTAAGGGGCACTCACCAGACCATTATGAACCTAAAGGGGGTGGGATCAGGTGCAGGTAACACTTTATACAAGTGCTACAGTTGCATTCCCATAACAGTTCTCTTCCCCTAAAAGAGCCATCTTGTGGTGGAGGAAGGTATGGTAAACAGTTACAAAGGTGGTACTGTTAATAATGCAAGAGTAAATGTTTGGAGGAGATGCCATTTGCTTCCCCCAGGGGTGGCTGGGAAGAAGAAGCTGTTATTAATTGGTTACTGGAGTTGTTGCAATTAGGGTCTCTAAGCCCAAGCTATATAATGTGTAAATAAACAAGGCTGGGATCAGTTATTTGGGGAATCAGGAGGATAACAATATGAATTTTCCTTCAGTGACATTCCTCACTTAGTGGAAGGGAACCATTTGATCCTGCACATTATATTTCATACCCTTCTTAGGAAAGTCATTTATAATCACTGTCTCTGATTATCATCACCAGTGGTATACCATAGGCTTTAACAGTAATATTGTATACAAACTGCAGTTATAACAATTCACCTCATTTAGGTCTCTGGCAGTGTATACTTTAAAATAATAAGATTTAAAAATAATATCACCAGTGCTGTCTCCTTTCTTTTAAATGGTTTCCATAGACTAGGTTGACTTTCAACCAGAATCCTTAGCAGGATGTTCCAAGGCAATTAAAACAAACAAGATTCATCTCAGTGATAGGAACAGTGATGCTATACCTACCAACAACATAGATGTGGTCATGGAAACTTGTGGCATTGATACATTTTGCTTCAACAGGCATGGGTGATTTTAAGGTCCACTTGTTTGTTGCTGAGTCATAACACTGTGTTTTGTCAGTAGCAAGCTTCCCATTGGGTCCTCCGCCAATCACATAGAGCTTCTTCTTGTAGCTGGCTGCCCCAAATGAGCTCACATTGATTATAAGGGGTGCTGCCTAAAGCAAACCAATTCAGGATCACACTTTAAGATTCATATATAATGTATATTATTCTTTTAAAAGGGCAAATGGAAGGAATGGTGGCAAACACAAAAGATAAGGTATACAGCTGAGATTAGGACTGAGATAATACTATGATAAATTTGCACTGGTGATGTGTCTTACAGGAGGAATATAACAGATGGAAATAGAAGCAAGAGCAGAGCAAAAACAGAGGTGAGCATTGTCAGCATATAACTAGCAGTGATGTCACACAAGCAGTATTCCCTCTAAGCTGAGTTAGTGTGAGCTAGCTCACAGTTTTTTAGCCTCTGGCTCACACATATTTGTCTTAGCTCAGGAAGGATGGCTCCAGAGCAAACTAATTTATGCAGTAGCCAAATTGCTCACTCACAGTTTTAATGCCAGTAGCTCACAAAGAAGAATTTTTGCTCATAAGACTCCACAGCTTAGTGGGAGCATTGCACACAAGTGCATTATATTAAAGGGGAACAAAAAGGGGAAAGACTTAAAATAGAAATCTGGAAGGGGTTCCTTAAGTGAGTGAGAGACATCAAATGAAAAGTGAGTTTCTTGGGAAATCAAGTGATGTGCTTGGGTCTAGTTTATAGCATGTACATACCATGTTCTACATTCCTTTCAGTAGTTTCATCTCAGTTTTTTCACCAGTGGAAATTGGCTATTGGAAGTGAGAGGGAACAGGCACACTGTGTTGAATTTGTGTTCTTAATTCCATAAATTAGTGCTAAACTAGAAGTGTGGAAAGGAACAGCTTGGGGTGAGTATATTGTGGCACAGAGTGATTTTGGCCCTGAACAATGCTTAATTTATTGTGTGGAGTCACTATACTATCCAAATCCAACCTAGTTTTCCTGCAACTGTTGTGGGGTAATTGTACAGAACTGTACAGACTGTAAAAGCATTGCCATGTGCATTATAGGGATGGGGCACATTCAACAAGCTCAGTACTAGAACCTTTGCAAGTATATGCCATTAGTACATCATGCTGCAGACAAAGTGGACTGACTCAATTGGTGCTGCAAACCAGAACAAGTAGATCAACCATGACTTAAAAATCAATAACAAAATATCTTTTCATGTAATTTGAAGCACATCACTTTAAGCACCTTCAGTGCAATCCTATACAGAGTTATTCCAGTCTGCATAGGATTGCTCTATATATTTACAACTAAATGCTCATTACAAAATGCAATATATATTTGTAATTTTTGTATGTAATATTGATAGTGGAGTTAAATTTTTATACTGCTTTAAGCACCATTTCAGTGGGAAGGCAATTAATAAACAAAAATAAATATATAAACATATTGTTCACATGACATTAAAAGCATTTTAAAGCATCTCATGTATTCTGTGCATGCATATATAATGACAGCTAAAGACAGATAGATAGTAATTGCCTCTTTAAAATAGTCATTGTCTTGCTAATTTTGCATTTGTATGATAGATGGAAGGAATGCAAAAGGCATTTTGATGTAATGTGTGTAAATATCATGCTTATTGGCATATGGTATCCTTATGTTAATTGGTTTCTTGTTTCTCCATTATTGCAAGTATATCCATACTTTACCTCTGACCAGCAGTTGTGAAAAGAATCATATGTTTCTACGCTGTTGATCCTTTGTATACCATCAAAGCCACCAATGACATATACTTTGCCACCCAGCACAGCCATTTTGTGTCTCCATCTTCCAGCATTCAAATATTCTATTTGTATCCACTTGTTGATGGAAGAATTATACTTCCACACCTCATGCTGTGTTTCTTTCCCCCCTGCAATGAAAGGAATACACCAAACTGATGCCAACCTTTCAGAATTTTTATAAGGACTTTTTCTGCTTATAACAAAATCATCACTTGGTATACCTCTCCTAGAGCATTTGGGTGTGACTAATGAGATCTCATTGGAATCCTGACAATTTTGTCATTAACTTTTTATAAATACATTCATTCTTCATCACTGTCTAGATAATGAAGATAAGTGCTTATTTATGGGAAGCACTGAAGCACATCAAACTAAGCCAAAATATACAACTCCTGAAATATGCTGTAACTATTTCTCCTATCTCATTTATTTCTACAGACATTACCACAATCCTTACCTGATATATAGACCTCATTTTTTAATGTAATACATGCAAACTCCACCCATTTTTTATTCTCAGTCTCCATTTCTTGTTCTGTGTTGGGCAGTTTTGCCACTTCCAAACGGCTGCGCCTCAAGGGATCAAGGCAAGTAACTTCAGCTACAAATTTTTCATCCTTTGTGCATCCACCTATGATCATAAACACCTCTGACTGGAATTCGTGCATCCTAGGCTTTGTTCTTTCTGAAATGATCTACATAAAAGCAAGAATTAAAGATACCCTTATACTTCAGTATTACCAGAACAAAAATCTAACTTTTCTCCCAGTACTGTACCTCTAATCCCATCAAGCTCTGCATATTTCAGGCTTTCCAACTATTTTTAAGGAATCATGTTTTCAAAGAAATGTACCTATTTCAAAACATTTATGTTCCATAGCACAGAAATTCCTAGATCCATCAACCTCCTAAAGCAAAAATATAGTCATAAGAACATAAGAGAAGCCAATGTTGGATCAGGCCAATGGCCCATCCAGTCCAACACTCTGTCACACAGTGACCAAAAATATCATGTGCCATCAGGAGGTCCAGCAGTGGGGCCAGGACACTAGCAGCCCTCCCACTGTTGCCCCCCCCCCAAGCACCAAGAATACAGAGCATCACTTGCCCCAGACTGAGAGCTCCTATCAATACCTTCTGGCTAATAGCCACTGATGGACCTCTGCTCCATATGTTTATCTAATTCCCTCTTGAAGCTGTCCGTGCTTGTAGATGCCACCACCTCCTGTGGCAGTGAATTCCATGTCTTAATCACTCTTTGGGTGAAGTCTGCCAATTCTGGCTGGAGAAATTCCTAGAGATTTGAGGATGGTACATGGGGAGTTTGGAGTTTGGGAACCAGAGTGAACTCAGCAGTGATGTGATACCATAGAGTCTGAAGATGCTGTTTCTTCTAGGGAAACTGATCTCTGTAGCCTGGAGATCAGTTGTAATTCTAGGAGACCTCCAGGCCTCACCTGGAGGTTGGCAAACCTAACCCCTGGCCTGATTTCAATCACACCTATGGCAACCCTTGGACCGTCCCTGTTAATCATGACTTCCAGCCTAACTCTTATTATAGTGTGTCGAAATATGATCCTCGGGGTACCTGACCTCTAGCTCAACTTTTAACATAAGAACATAAGAGATGCCAATGTTGGATCAGGCCAAAGGCCCATCCAGTCCAACACTCTGTATCCCACAGTGGCCAGAAATACCAGTGCCATCAGGCGGTCCACCAGTGGGGCCAGGACATTAGAAGCCCTCCCACTGTTGACACCCCCCCCAAGCCCCTCCTGCCCAACTAGCTCCGTGCCTGAGCACCTGACTGTTAGAATATGCAAGGTCTATAGTACAGCCTTATGAAGAAGATCTGAAGATCATCCTACAGGGGGACAGCTGAAGGACTTGTAGTCAGCATAGCTAGACTAGGGACTCCCCACTTTTTCAAATTGTGTCCTTGCTGTCTCCTGATTCGCTCTTCTTTGCTCTATCAAAGTGTGTTCTTATTTAATAAACCTACTTATTTTTCTTTAAACAGTTGGTGCTCCACTTCCTTGCATATTTAAACTCTGCGAACACTGACAAATCTATGAACCCTCTGATTAGCAGTGATGGTTTAAGGTCTCTGGCACAGCTCTTTCCCAGCCCCACTAACCAAGATCCTTTTTAACTGGATGTGATGGGGACAGAACCTTTGTGTGAAGTATGTGCTCTACCACTGAGCACCTCTTGACACCTCTTACATTTTTCCACACATGGGAGAACTTCATGGAGCACAGTGAAAGAGCCACTTCAAGCCACCTTATCTTTGAGTGTCATTACCAAATGAACTCTTGTTGAAGTAGAAGTGTCACTTTGATGTCTTCCTCAATTGTGAAATGTCTTCATATAGTGTTGTTTCATGTCATTGCTTATAGAAAAAGTAGTTAATGTTTCTCGTGATTTATTCCCGTGATATATTTGATCCGGGGATATTTTTTCGGGTTGGGATAATCACACATACCTCCCCAAACCGCTTGCATCGCACAATGAGGCTCCAAGCACCGTCCAGATAGCCGTGAGAGGGTTGTTTTTTTTAAAAAAAAAATTGCTTTGTGCATGCACACATGAACACAACTGAATCACTGCCCCCACTTGGCCACACACACACACATACAAACAAAGACATCAGCGGCAGGAGTTGCAGAGAGGTGGCGGGGCAGAAGGAAGCTTTGCTCGCGCCTCTGCCAGGCTTTCAATAATGGAAGGCTATTCACTTCTTTAGAGGACTATACTGGGAGAAGTCAAAGGAAACCCAAGACTATTCAGCATTAGAATTCATAGCTCCAAGACAAGCACCATCTTTTGAATGTAATGGGCCGCCTGTGAATATAAGCTCTGGTAAGCTTCAGAATTCACTAGAGCAATTTATGCAGACTCTGGGAGCTCACCCAGTTCTGATGCTCTTGAATCTAGATGGCTACCTGGAAACATCTTCTCTGCTAACAGGTGTCTGTTCCCTGCTGCCACCTGTTCTTCCTTTAGATCTACTCCTATTTGACTTTGCTCAACACCCAGTAAACTCAGGGTTGGAATGGACAAGACATACCTTCAATATAATAGAATCACTAACACAGGTTATTGTCAAAGCTAAGTCAAGTGTACAGTATGGACACAGTCCCCAACAAGCCTCAGAGTCAGTTCTTGTTCCCATTTGACAACTGGAAAATACATCTGTTACTGACCTGCATCGTAAACCTATACAATGAAAGGCACAGATTCAGCAAAGACTGAAGCAGATCATTGAAGTGTCCTATCCAGTGAATGCAGTACATTGGAAGCCAGTTGAGGCTACTGTCCCTATAGAGTGTATCCTTATAGCAAGCAAAGAGGGGGTGATGCAAAAGTCCTTAATATACTACAGAAGTGGCAAATGTATCTATCTACCATGCAGACTGTAAAACTAGCATGCAAGGATCAACTGACAAAAGGGTATAAATAAATGTGGCTGTTCTTTTCATGTAATTTTTTTTTCTGCACAAAACCATTCAAGGCAGACCGGGTTCAGCAAGAGAGCTCCAATTCTTAATTTTTTTAATCCATGTGCAAGTGTTAGAACCTCTAAGCCATTACTGTAATTTGTTGTACAATTTTAGAGATTTCATATATTTAGCTCCATTGTTGCCCAGAATACTTTTTGCTAAATAATTAGAGATTCTCCTCACTGAGGAAAAAGCATATGCAAATGTATGAGCCTGCCACTTCCAGCAACCTTATGTTCAATTTTAAGGAGACTGAACTGCATACAGAAGTTCTACATCCACAGTGCGCACCTTTCTGTCCACACAGCATGCAAAGGTGCTTTCATTACAATCTCTCCAAAAAGGTTGTACCAAACCAGGTCTGAAAAAGATCTCAGTAAATATTGGACAAAGAGAGGATGATATAATGTGGATAAAAGGTAAAGGTTCCCTTGCTCGAAAGCCAGTCGAATCCGACTCTAGAGTTGCGGTGCTCATCTCCGTTTCAAAGCCGAAGAGCCAGCGCTGTCCGAAGACGTTTCCGTGGTCATGTGGCTGGCATGATTAAACACCAAGGCGCACGGAATGCTGTTACCTTCCCACCAAAGTGGTACCTATTTATCTACTTGCAACTTCTTGCTTTCGAACTGCTAGGTTGGCAGGAGCTGGAACTAGAGATGGGAGCTCACTCCGTCATGCGGCACCCGGGTCTCGAACTGCTGAACTACTGTAGATGCTCTTAAAAGGGACTGGCTCTCTCTCACTGTAATCCCTGTAATACACTGTGCTCGTCTTCATGCAACTTGTTGGTTGTGCTGGGCCCCCAAGAGGTCTGCTTGGCTCCCACCAGGACAAGGGCCTTTCCCACCTTGGCCCCATCCTGGTGGAAGGCCTTGCTGGATGTGGTTTGAACCCTGCGGGACCTTCCACATTTCTGCAGGGCTTGCAAGTCAGTCTCATTCAGGGAGGCCTTCTCCTGAACTTGTTCTGTTGGCCCCCTCCTGGAATTTATTGACTTCTTTATATTTTATCATTTATGAATGAGCAGTGTCTGATTTTATTATCTTATATATTATGTATTTTATATCCAATTGTTGTTTTATTGTTGTAATCCACCCTGAGCCCTCGGGAAAGGGTGTAACAGAAATCTAATAAATAAAAAAATAAAAATTGAAAAGAGCACTGCTATAAAAAGCCATGGCAGAGCAAGACATCCATGTGGAAACACTCAGAGATCAGTTGAGATTAATTGAGATCACCTTCAGCAGCTGTACATGCATTGAATGTATACTAGAATTACTCAATGCACATGTAAAGAAAAATAATCAACTGAACACTGTACACAAATTGTACATGTGTTCATTGTAACTTGTGAACAGGGCTCAAGGGTAGACTGTACACACGAACAGGGCTTCTGAAAGCAGGAACAAGGAACATTGAAGCAAGAGGGCTGTAGAACAAATAGCACCAGATGACTCACCCCGCTCTGAAAGTTACCAGTCTGAAGTTACTTATTCTTTTACTCACCTCATTCCCTGAGAGGTGGTACATCCTAGCTTCTTGAAGCAGTGGGAAAACATCAGGGCATTGCCTGATGAGCAGATCTGCTTCTACAGTCTCTACAAAATACCAAGGATCCAGAAGGGGCAAGCGAACACTCTCAAGGATGTGGGGCAGGAAAGGAAGCCTTTCTGGTATTTTGCAACGAACCCAGTTTATAACCGTTTCGAACACTTCTGCTTCTTCAGTGACACAGAGGTCATCACTCTTCAGCACGTGGTACAGGACATCCAAGGGCAACTCTAAGAATTCATCACAGTTCAGTACTTGAGTGAAATTGTGGATAATGTACTTCTTCACCTGCTGCTTCAAGTTATCCAGGGAATGAGCATCAGCCAGTCTTAAAATCCCAACACAGTTGTCTGGTTGGAGAGCATCATTAAGGAAGTTTGAACAAGCTTCTACCATCCGCAAAAACTACAAGCATAAAAGGAAACACATTAAGTTACTATGCAAACTCTCCTATGTTAATATACTCAGCTGCTCCTAAAGGAAACAGGAAACTAGTTGAAGTATTTAAAACAGGATTTAATCATATCTTCATAGATACAAAATGTGGTATGCAGAAAAGGCCATAACCTCTTTCCTTGGAACCTCTAATGTCAATAAATAGGAGATCCTTCTCCCATAGGAGATCCTTCAGCCCAGAAAATGCATACTGGGTGCCTGCTATGCTTCTTGTTAGATTCTTAGGATTGTAAGGACTGTTTTTTGCAGATAGCACTGTTTATGCTGTAACAGTACATGTTAGGGTTTTTGTATTCACAGAGCTGATTTTAATGCTCATGCTTCTGCTGCTGGAGAAAAAAACCCAGAAGGCAAAGAAATGATAGCAGATCTTATATGGCAAGGAGGAGCCAGCCAACAAACCCTCAGACTATGAAAGGGGGGCAATTGAGAAGTCAAAGGGGCACAGAGAAAAGAGAAGGAAAAGTGGAAGAAGCCAAGCAGAACTGACATTAGAAGTCCTGTTTATGCAACCATCTGTGTCGGGGGAGGCTGTGTAGAAAGCTTGCACACCATCTTGCCAAGACACAGCCCATGTGCAGGTTTTATGTTCTTATATGTCACTGGAAACATCTGTTTTCAAATCTTTGCAGCAGTGATGTCAAACATTTAACCTTGCACCTGAACTGGTCCTTTCCCAAGCAGTGAGAAGTTCTAGGAGTAACACTTTACCTGTGTTGGAGATAGCACTGGGGACTTACAGACATTTTGAAGTATTTTCCAGTCTTTCATGATCATATAGCAATTTGGCTTACATCCAGCTCACTAGTTATGAACAGGGAGCTAATCATTAGCTTCTACCATAGAGCTTTTGCCCCAAAACCAGAGCGTCACCCCCGACATCCCAACGTCACTTCTGGGTCACGTAGGTACGCTGCTGAAATGCCAGGTGTTCCTCCCTTGGGGGGGGGCAATTCCCCATCACTAGCTAGCTGGCCAGTGATGAAGAGTTGGGGCGTGTCAGTGGGAGATCCACACACACCCCAACCCTACTAGGGGGTCTGGCATCCCTACTCTGGCTGTAGACTACATCTTGGCATTGAGACTTATAGGTCTGGCCCACAAAGGCTTACACAAGACAGGGCATACTTCGACCTGGTTGCTTGGATAATAGGATCATATCTGCCAGGGTTTTTTAAAGTATTCACCTAATATTTCCAGGATATATCCATATTAGCAGTACAGAAGTTGCAGTCTAAATTTTGATTAAAAACATAATATTACATTTGTTGTTGTTTTTACTGCACACATCCTCCAAATTTGCTATACATAACATGGGGGGAAATAATTAAAATGAAAAGGGAGAAGTGAAAAACTAGAAATGCCATTTTAAAAGCTTAAATAGATTTAAGTGTGAAGAAGAGTTGTCTGCTCAAAACCGTGTCCTGTTGACACATTTCAGCTGCTTACCAAAACTGAAAGATTACAGGCTTGGCCTATAAACCACGGTTCCTGTTTTTAACGGCCGAATGTTTAGAGAAATGAAGCTCACCCATCAGTAGTCTATACATATCTGTAACGCCAAATGCATCAGTTCCACTATACAGACTTTCTCCTTTCATAATGAGCCTGCTATAATTACCATGCAGCCATGCTGCATGAGAACTATTGGTTAATGGAAATTATTCTGTTTAAGTATAGCAAGGAGCCTGTACAATTTGTTTGCGCTGTTGAACTGGATGGAAGACCTAGCACTTTCTTTAAAAGCTATGGAATGTTTGGAGAAAATGTGGGAGTCTGGTTGTATGGGACAAGCAGCTTGAGCAGGACCGGCTAATGTGGTTACCTCTGCTGCATTACTACCATATCTTCTTAGCCTATAAACACAAGATGTTTACAGAGATGCTGTGAGTCTCAAGTGATCTCTGCTCCAAAGGTAGTGTTACCAATCTCTAGGTGAGGTTTGGAAATCGCCCAGAATTACAACTAACCTTCAGACAACAGAGATCAAGTTCCCCTGAAGAAAATGGCTGCTTAGGAGGGTGGACTCTATGCCATTATACCCACTGAGGTCCCTCCCTTCCCCAAACTCTACCCTCCACAGGTTTCACCTCAAATATCCAGGAATTTCCCAACCCAAAGTTGGCAGCCCTGTAGGAAATGAAACCCAGTGCAGTTTTTCTGAATGTCCTATTGGTTAGCAAAAGGGAAATAGAACATATCTTCTCATGTGGCTCTCTTTTCTGGAGAGAAAATATTCGCATTCTGGAAATACATGAAGGGTGTATTTCCTACCCTGGTTGTGCTTTTTGGGCAGAATGCAGAGAAAAGCAACTCTAGAACTTTTTCCTCTTAAGACTTTATTAGCTGTACAGTAGCAAAATATGTCCCCATAATACATCCATGTAACACTTACAGTCAGCTTTCTGTAAACAAAATGCATCTTGAATAAACACACACAAAACATACAGACACAACCCCCCCCCCATCTATGCATTTTGCCATTGTGATGGATGATAGTTATTCTACCCCAAACCTATCTAACATAAGCAGGTTGGAACAGCCAGTGGGGGTCAGGAGGTCTCCTACCAAAGCCAAAACCCCGGCATCCCTGTTCAAACCATAGTCTTAGTTCCAAATTTTTAAGTAGTATAGCTTAGTAAAAGAACCATAGCGCTGTAGTTATTGAATGTGTACAAGGAGATAGGTGAATCTACACAAAAGAACCATCGTATCATTGTTTTCGGCTCTGGATATTTTAGTACTGTGATACATAATGGTTTCTGCCATCACAAACCAAAACCATTATGTTAGACTTTTTCTATCCCAGGATACATTGGAATTTGGCTTCGGGTAGAAATAAACCCCAAATGCAATATGTGTTGTTTTTTTAGAGTTCTTAAATAAAGGCTGCAGTCCTCAGCACACTGCTTTCAGAATAAGACATTTTGAAACCAGTGGGATTTATGCCCTTTCAGCATTAGTAAGGAAAAGTAAGGGCATTTTCACTGCTGTTGTGAAAAACACTTAGTTGTATCATTCTGATTTTTTAAATACAGGACAGAAATTTGACATCAGATGTACATTCCAGCCAATGCAGATTTGCATTCAAATTACACTGGGTGTGTATACGTACAAAAACCATGTTTAGTGTTACAAATCTTCACACCCTTATACAGAATGTCCTTCTGAAGTCAGTGGGAGTTCCCTTTGTGAAAACATGCTCAGTATCCCACTTTATGCATCATTTTTGAACTGAACATGACACCATTTATCTGAATCTGACGGAGCCTTGGGTAAGATCTTGGCCATGAACCACCATTTAATTTATAGTATTATAGTGGGATGGCAAAACAGTACTCAGGTAAATTTGATCTTGATGGTATTTGCATTTTCTATGCACTAGAAGTTTTATTTACTAACCTGGAAAAGGCTGGCAGCTTCCAAGACTTTCTGTACATTTTCCTTTGTGATCAGTACTTTGCTTGTGTAAGTGTAATCCAACAGAATCTGCATTGTCTCCGCATCGACTCCCTTAATCACTATGTTCTCTTCATGCTTTTCTTTTAGATCATTGCAAAACATTGCCCTGTGCGGGGGGGAAAGGGGCAATTTGTTACAGTAAATTGAAAAAGACCAGTCATTTTTAAATAGACACTAAAAACAATACTTATGTCTAATAGACTCACAGCACATCATGCAGCCTTTACAGTAAACCAGTATTATGTCAGCCCCACATTACAGATGGGGCTAAGCCACAGTGGCATGCCTAAGGCCTCTTGCAGTGCCATCCTAACAGAACTACATCCAATGGGATTAGAAAAGTGTAACACTGCTTGATAAGGCTGCCATCCTCCAGATGGTGGCTGGAGATCTCCTGGGATTACATCTGATCGCCAGGTGACAGAGATCAGTTTACCTGGTGAAAATGACCACTTGGGAAGTTCAGCTGTATGGCATTTTACCCCCATTTAAATCACTCTCTTCCCTAAGCCCCACCCTCCTCAGGCTCCCCCCCAAAAAAATCTCCAGGTATTTTCCAACCTGGAGCTGGCATCCCCACTGCTTGAGATGGTACTGCAAGTCAGTTCACCTAGTGAGATCATGTCTGAACTCACTGAACCGGCTTATTATCTTTACTACTAGACTACATCTCTGTACCTTAGCTGTCCAGAACCTTGGCTTTATGACCAGTCTTGTGACAATGTATTTTTCATATCTGACAATCAGATATTTCTGTACTGAATGATGTTAGGTTGTTGGTGAAAAAATGAATATCAAAGAAATAGTATTAACACATCCAAAAGATTAGCAAAATACCTGCAAAATAGGAAGGAAAAGCAAAGGGTAAAAAGCATAAAGGTGAATGGCCAAAAAACTCAACACCCTATAGAAATAAGAGAGGCGTTCGCGACTTACTATAAAAATCTATATACGAAAAGAGATACTGCAGTCTTTACAGAAGAGGTTAAAACTACACTGAAGGAGGAGGAGCAAAGTAAATTACAGGAGGAAATTACCATACAAGAAATAAAAGATGCAATCAAGGAACTCAGAAAGGGGAAATCCCCAGGTTTAGACGGGTTTACAAGTGAATTTTATAAGGAAATGGTAGAAATATTAACCCCAGAGCTACATATGGTCTTCAATGCGATCTTGAGGGGGGAGAAAGCCCCAGACTCATGGAGACAAACAGAAATAATTGTGATCATGAAACCAGGCAAAGACCCGGAAGAAGTAGGTTCATACCGTCCCATTAGTCTCCTTAATCAAGATTATAAGATCTTTGCTAAAATCTTGGCAAACAGAGTAAAGAACATCATACCTAATATAATAAAAGAAGATCAATATGGGTTTATTAAGGGGAGGAATATTGCTCACCCGATTAGGAACATAATAAATGTACTGCAACATGGTCAACAAAAAAAAAATTAGCCCTCAAAACTGGATGTCTATAAAGCTTTCGATACCCTCTCTCAGGGATTTTTGTGGCAGGTTATGAGAAAGTACAAGATGGGAGATAATTTTATAAAAGCAATCCAGGAAATATATAGAGATGGGAAAGCAGTGGTTAAGGTTAACAATGACAAATCACAAACATTTCAGATTCAGAGAGGAGTTCGACAGGGCTGCCCACTCTCACCACTTCTATTTACCATAGCGATAGAACAGCTAGCTGAGAGAATAAGAAATAGTGTAAGGATAAATGGTCTCAAAGCAAAGAAGGAAGAAATGAAAATTAATTTATTTGCAGATGACATTATAGTGGTTATGTCAAATCCCCAAGAAGCGATGAAAGAGATTAAAATTATACTAGAGGATTATGAGTGTTTCTCAGGTTTAAAAGTAAATATGGCCAAATCAGAAATCATGTACCTTAATGTGAATAAAGAAGAAAAAAAAGAAGTAAACAAAATTACAAGTATCGGTATGGGAACTAAAAGGTTTAAATACTTAGGGATAGTGATACAAAAAAAGATTGATAGAATCGCGGAAAGTAACTACAACATAATATGGAAGAAAATAGAAAAAGATATGAGAAAATGGAAAAACAAAACGCTAGGGCTCTCCACTAGAATTAGAAGTGTTAAAATGTTCTGGCTACCCAAATTAATATATTTATTTCAGGCGATACCACTAGAAGCACACAGTAAAAAGCTAGAACAATGGAACAGAGTGATTAGAGAATGGGTATTTGGGAGCAAGAAGTACAGAACCCAAAAGAGATTGATATATAGTCCCAAAGGGGAGCTAGGGTGGGGAGTCCCGGAGCTTAACAGCTATTATGAAGCCTTCCAAATAAAGTCCCTATTAGAAATAGGCGAAGGGGAAGAGCAAAAATGGGTTAGATTTGAGAACGAGATCAATAATCACATTGGCTGCTGGGGGCCTCTTTGCAAAGTCACAAAAATAGACCTCAAACTAACCAAAGGTCCCAGACATGCAGCCTTAGAAGCGTGGAATAAGTGGCAGGAGTTATGGCTAAGAAAAACTTCAAGCTGGGCACCATTAAAATCTATAAACAAGGATATAACAGGTAACGAATGGTGGGAATGGCTAAAAGCTAAAGGGTATTATAGGATGAAAGATATGTTTAGAGGAGGCAATCTAAAACCCATACAGGAGATAATAGAAGAGGTGGGCAACCAACATTGGTTAAGAATAACTGGCCTGTATAGTAAGGTTAAAAAGATAAAGGAAAAAGAGAAATGTTGGCTAGAGGAACCAATAGAAACATTATACAAAGAGATGCAAAAGTCAAAACAAGGGCTAGCAGGGAAAATTTACAAGGAAATGACATCAAATGTAGATAAGTCAATATTGTATTTACAAAACACTTGGGCCAAAGAAGGTCAGATAACAGATAGTATGGCAAGAAAAATAATGAAAGGAACTGAGGAAATTAAAGTAATCAAATTTAATGAAATGGACATAAATTTCTTACCAAATGGTATAAAACACCAGCACAAATTGCAAACATGTTCCCAGGTATGAGTCCTAGATGTTGGCATTGTAAACAATTAAAGGGATGGTATTCCCATATGTGGTGGGAGTGCCCAGAGGTCAGAGCATTCTGGACAAAGATATTACAAATTATAAAAAAGACATGTAAAGCATCATTACACATTAACTTTAATTTAATGCTAATGAGTATAGTAGGTAATCCAGCAATAAGCAAAGAGAACCAAGCTTTGTTTAAAGCCATGATACTAGCAGGCAAAGCAGTAATAGCTCTAGGCTGGAAGAACAAAAATAAATGGACAGTAGAAATCTGGCATAATTATTTGTTTGATCTCATACAGTCCGACATAATCGAAAAGCTGGAACGTAAGGCCACATGGAAAGACAAGACTACGGAGATCACGATGAAGTGGAAGACCTACCTGGAATGGATACCGACAGAAGGAAGGAAAGACATTCAGAGCAAGATTCGGACTTTGTGCCCGTGGCTGGGAATATAGGACTAAAGCACCGGGATAGCATAGGGGGGAGGGGGGAGGGGAAAAACTACTATGTAAACGCATGGTTAAAAGATATTATGTAAAATTTGTGTAAGACAATTAAAAAATATATTTAAAAAAAGGTTGTTGGTCAGTTGTCCAGTTAGTAAATTTGTACCTGGATTTTTCCCCAGGATAACCAGTTCATTTAAACAAACATGGATATTTTTAGGGGTAAACACCACCCTTAGTTTTTGGAAAATAATGGATCTTCTTGCAAATTCAGCAGCATTGACCAAACATTTGGTTACTTAACTGGGTATATTAATGACTATTAAATGTCTGATTTGATTAAAAATATACCCCGAATCAAATAGCAAATTTTGGAGGAAACTTTTTACTACTATTTTTTAATTTTTACTTTCTTTCTTTTTTATGAGAAGGGCACATTCACTGGAAAAGACCCTGATGCTGGGAAAGATTGAAGGTAAAAGGAGAAGGGGATGGCAAAGGATGAGAAGGTTAGACAGTGTTATTGATGCAACAAACGTGGGGTTGAGCACACTCCAGGGGATGGTGGAGGACAGGAGGGCCTGCTGTGATATGTGGGATCACGAAGAGTTGGACTTAACTGTGCAACTGAACAACAACTACTATTTTTTTAATTTTTACTACTATGCTTACAAATACTGCTGGATGAAGCAGTACAAAATATGGGGGAAGGGCTGTAGCTCTGCTTAGGTTCAGTCCCTGCCATCTCCACTTAAAAGATTTTGGTTAGTAGGGGCTTGGAAAAGTCCTTCTCTCCCTGTGACTCTGGAGAACTGATGCCAGTCAGAGTAGATGGATCAGTGTTCTGTACAAGGCAGCTTCACATGCTCACATTTTAAAAAGGGTGCTTTTTGGTGTAGTGGTTAGGTGTGCAGACTCTAATCTGGGAGAACCGGGTTTGATTCCCCACTCCTCCACATGCAGCTGCTGGTGTGACCTTGGGTCAGTCACAAGTTCTTTCAGAGCTGTTCTCTCAAGGGCAGTCCTTGAAAGACCTCTTTCTCAGCCCCATCTACCTTACAGGGTGTCTGTTGTGGGAAGGGGAAGGGAAAGGAGATTGTAAGCCACTCTGAGACTCCTTTGGGTAGTGAAGGGCAGGGTATAAATCCAATCTTCTCCTCCTCCTCTTCTTCTTCTTAACTGTTGTTTTTCACAGGTAAACTTATAGAGGTTTAACCCATTAGTTAGTCCACTGAACTTAAACATTTAGTGGTGGAATCTTAAGAACACTTTCCTGGAAGTACAAACAAAGAGACCTGGGTAGGGTTCTGCACAAATCTGCTTAGGATTGCTCTCTAACTGATGATTTTTTTAAATTGAGTGACAGAACTTTTAATATATGCCCACATTTTAATGAAAATCCCATTAAAATTAATTGAAGAAAAATAATGTTCTGAAATTTAAAGTCCCCCCATTCAAAATTAAAAATGCTGGTGCATTGTACTACTTCCTATGGGTAGATATATATGTAACATGTTTCCTCAGGTTAGTCTCTCTAGAAGATTAAAATGTAGGTGCATAATCACAGGTAGATCAATAAAAAAGTGCTTAATTGGACAGTTAGTGTGGCATAGTGGTTATAGTTATTAGACTTGGATTGCAGAGTGCAAATAATTTAAACGAACAGGGGTTTCTTGTTAGGGGTAAACATGACCTTTCGTTTTTAGAAAATAATGGTTCTTCTTGCAAATTCAGCAACACTGACCCAACATTTTGTCTGCGCTCAGGTTAGCACAGCTATCACAGTGGGGCTTATCAAGGGAGATGGTCTTTTAGATATTTGGTTCTTAGGCCATGAAGGGCTTTGTAGGTGATTTCAGTACCTTGAATAGTAATGCAGTTTCACCCTAAGCTCCCTCATAGGAACGCTGTGAGGAAAAAATGGGAAGGAACCCCTACATTCCTAAGCTTGTAATTTAAAATCAGTAACCAACAGAGGACTGCAGAACAGGGGTTACTTCACTTTGGGGGGGGGCGTCAAGTCACAGCTGACTTATGACGACCCTGTGGGGTTTTTAAGGCAAGAGACATTCCAAGGTGGTTTGCCATTGCCTGCCTTTGCATCACCTAGTTCCTGACAATAATTGAGCTGCAGCATTCTGCACCAGCTGAAGTTTCTGGGTTGTCTTTGAGGGTAGACCCATGTAGAGTGCATTAGTCTATCCTCAAAGTTACTGAATCCATGTGGCCAGACCTGCCTGGTCAAGGAAGGGAGCTGTCCTCTGATCTAAATGAAGACGGCAGAAAGCACTTTTGCTGCTGAATTAAATTCAAGAGCAATAAAGCTTGGTCCAATAGGACCCCTCGACTCTTAACTGAGTAAAGAAGGGTCAATTGAATGCTATCATATGTGGGAAGCTCAGTGCCTTCCCAACTGAGCATCACCTCTGTCTTCTCAGGATTCAGTTTCAGCTTGTTCACCTTTAACCATTAAATCACAGCAGCCAGGCACTGGCTCAGTGCTGGGTGGTTTGGACAAAGAAATGCGGAGCTGGGTATCATCAGCATACTGGTGACACCAGGCCCGTAGCTACAGTGGGGCATCTCAGGGCCCGGCCCCCTGACTTCCCACCAAGGCTCCCTGACTTCCCATCCAGCCTAGGCACTCCCTTGGGGTTGTGTGTGTGGGGTGCACCCTGACTTATTTAAAGGCCCCCCGAATTAAAAAATCCTGGCTGCAGGCCTGGGTGACGCCCAGCTCCAAAACTACAAATGATTATTCCTAAGGGCTTTACATAGAAACAGCACAGGAGATAAGACTGAGCCTTGAGGTACCCCACAGGATGCCCCACACTGATGAAAATTGTTCTCCAAAAACAGCCCTATGAGTCTGATCCCTAAGGAAGGATTTAAACCAATCCAAACCAAATCCTCTGATGCCTACTTCTACCTCCCAACATTTTGACAAGATAGTATTGTCCACAATATCAAAGGCAGCAGATAAATCAGATAAGAGGTACAGCCTTGTCCAAGAAGACCTGTCCTGCAGCCACTCTGACAGTCACTTTTGCCCTAAAAGAACAAATAAGAGACTGATAGTAATTGGCCACAACATTCTTCTCTATTGATGGTCTTCTTAAGTAGTAGACAGATAACCATCTCTTTTAATGACTGACGAAAGGTGCCCTGAGTAACTGATTGATTTATAATGAACATCAGGGGCTCATTGATGTGATCCTTACAACATTTTGGCAAGCAGGATAGACAGGGATCCAGAGTACAAGTGATGGCCTTCACAAATCAGAAGATCCTGTGAACATCCTCCATGGTAACTCAGTCAAAATTATCCATAAATGGACCAGTTGATGCACTGGGCACTTCTAGTGACTGAGCTATATTCCAACTGGCATCCAAATCCAAACATATTTGAGAGATTTTATTTGCAAAAAAAGAGAAGAAGACTTTGCAAAAGTGTCACAACTAATCATCAGGTCCTGCGAAGTTAACAACTCAGATCTAGGAGTTAGCAAGTGTTAACTGAGTGAGTTAAACAACTGAGCAGGTCATGAACTAGTTGCTATGATGGTAATAGAGAATTAAGTTTTCTTTGCTGCCTTCACTGCTGCCTCATATACCTTCAAATGAGCTGTATAATACAGTCTGTCAGATTTACTCAAATATTTCCACCAGTAGCTCTCTAGATATCTCTGTGCCCTCTTCAAGTCACCCAGCTCCATGGTTAACCAAAGGGTTGGTTTTCTTTGCTTTCCGGTACAATTAGTGATGATGATTTTTAAAAAAGAGAGAGAATGATGACATATAGGACCCTGAACACAATTCTTTCCCATCCTTGATGATTTACACAACACATTGTCTCCCACATTTAAACAGTTCAATTTTAAAAAGTCATCCAGCTTCCACACATGAAACCAAATTAAAGGAAGGTTACCTAGTGTTCACCATGAATACTCCCATAACCTTGAAAAGTAGATGAATATAAAATCTGAAGTTTGGCTATAAATTTCTACTGTTATACCACCGATCTATGCACTTTGGTAACTTGTATAAGTAAAGAGAAATCGATGTGAAAAAATTCGCATTCCCATCCGTGTTACCTAATTTTCAAAGTTTGCCCTTGAAATTCCAGCTGAAATAGTAAATTTTAAAGGCCCCTTACCTAAAATAATTGCTTGCTGCTGCAAGGACCACACGGTGGCATGAGAATTTCATGTTGTCCACGCACAGGGTAACATCTGTGAGAGAGTTTTCCAGCCGGAGGTTCTCCAACCCACTTTGCAGCAACATGGATAAGCCTGTGTCGTCAAATTTAACCCTGTCACTGTTGGAGAATTCCACAAGCTCCCCCATGTTTCTGGAACATCCATTTTCCAAAGGTGCGGGAGGCTCGTCCTCCTCCACATTCTTCTTCATCATGTCACCCATGGTTTGATCAGCAGCACGTCATGCTAACACTTCAATCTAAGATGGTTCCTGAGCTTTAGACAAGTCACTCTGCAGAAGTAAGGAGAATTTCCTGTTTTGGCCTCTCCACTTATCTACGTCTGTCACACACACATAACAGGAAGCCTTGCACTTTCTCATCCTGTTATCATAAACTGTTGGGTTGTAGCTTTCTTTCAGATCATTCACACTACAAGCAGTTTCAGTGTGTCTTGAGAAGATGGCAATGGATAAGACAATGATAAGTAATACCGAAGTTCTTTGAAACTGCTCTAAAATCGAGTTTCTGCAATAGGACATCAGAAGTTTATCCAGATATACTAGTCCAGCACCACAGAGGCATTGTGGGGATATATCAAGCCTTTTCACTATGAGCACTGAGAGCTGTTTCTAAGGAACATATGGAGTGAAAATAAATAGCCTTTGTGTTTATAGATGCTTTACAATATAATAACTGGTAATTGACTTGACTCTTCTGAAATGTGTTGTTGTTAGTGAGTATTAACAATGTCATTTTGCAAATGTTTGTAGTGACTGAAATAATTGACATGATATCTGCATTTTCAAAGTGCACAGACAATTTTAATAGTTTATATAGTGTATGCCTGATCTGAGCTAAGTATTGCTGTGTTGCAAATTTTGGACTACACTTTCAAAAACTTTTTTTAAAACCCAACTATTCTCCCTTTTCCCACAATGTAGAGGTTAAGATTATGGTCTGTGCATGTGTGTGTATGTCTACAGTCAAGATACGCACACACACACTACAATCCTTAGTCAAGTAAATGTTAACCATTGTAGATGCAGAGTTTCTTTTTTTATATAAACATTTTTATTATTTTCATTAACAACGATAAGAACAAGTAATATTAACAATAAAGAGAATTGTATAAAATAATAAAATAATAATCATAACAACAACAACAGTTCCAAGTTAGGCAGTACAACAGGCCATGTGTTATTCAAGGTAAGTATTGAAAATTGAATATCAGTCTAGTCATTTAGGAGCTGCGGTGGCTCAAGTGGTTAAGACACTGAACTGCAGGCTGTGGAAGGTCAGTAGTTCAGCAGTTCGAGACCCGAGTTGCCACATGACAGAGTGAGCTCCCGTCTCTAGTTCCAGCTCCTGCCAACCTAGCAGATTGAAAGCAAGAAATTGCAAGTAGATAAATAGGTACCACTTTGGTGGGAAGGTAACAGCGTTCCGTGCACCTTGGTGTTTAGTCATGCCAGCCACATGACCACGGAAACATCTTCGGCCAGCGCTGGCTCTTTGGCTTTGAAACGGAGATGAGCACCGTTAACTACCCACACATTGATTGGGTCAATATGTGTTCTAGTCTAGAGAAAGAGATTGTGTTTCTAGACACTCTAAATGACTGTGCTATGGAGCAGATGGTCACAGAACCTACCAGGGGAGAGGTGATCCTTGATTTGGTCCTAAGTAACACTCAAGACCTGGTGAGAGATGTAAAAGTGATTGCACCGCTTGGGAACAGTGATCATAATGTTGTTGAGTTCAACATTTGTACAAATAGGGAATTGGCCAAAAAGACTCACACAACCACTTTTAACTTTAAAAGGGGTAATTTTTCTGATATGAGGGGACATGTGGGGAGGAAACTGAAGGGAAAAGTAGAAAGGGTCAAAACCATTGGGGAAGCTTGGAAACTGTTTAAAACTACAATTCTAGAAGCTCAAATAAAATATATTCCGCAGGTTAGGAAAGGCACAAACAGGTATAAGAAAAAGCCTACATGGTTAACAAACAAAGTAATGGAAGCTGTAAAAGGTAAAAAGGATTCCTTTAAGCGGTGGAAAGCTAGTCACAGTGAGGCTGATAAAACAGAACACAGGCTATGGCAAATAAAATGCAAGTCTGTGGTCAGGCATGCAAAAAGGGAATATGAGGAGCATATAGCAAAAAATGTAAAGACCAACAATAAAACTTTCTTCAAATACATTAGAAACAGGAAACCAGCCAGGGAGGCAGTGGGGCCCTTGGATGACCAAGGGGTAAAAGGAGTACTGAAGGATGATAGGGAAATGGCTGAGAAGCTAAATGCATTTTTTGCCTCCGTCTTCACTGTGGAAGATGAGAGGTGCTTGCCCACTCCAGAGCCGCTGAGTTCGGGAGGGGTGTTGAAAGACCTGAGTCAGATTGAGGTGACGAGAGAGGAGGTCCTAAAACTGATAAACAACTTAAAAACTGATAAATCACCAGGCCCAGATGGCATACATCCAAGAGTTCTGAAAGAACTCAATTGTGAACTTGTGGATCTCCTGACAAAAATATGTAATCTCTCCTTAAAATCAGCCTCCATTCCTGAGGACTGGAAGGTAGCTAATGTCACTCCCATCTTTAAAAAGGGTTCCAGAGGAGATCCGGGAAATTACAGGCCAGTCAGTCTGACGTCGATACCGGGTAAATTGGTGGAAACCATTATTAAGGAAAGAATTAGTAGGCACATAGATGAACAAAACCTATTGAGGCAGACTCAACATGGGTTCTGTAAGGGAAGATCTTGTCTCACTAACCTGTTAATGTTCTTTGAGGGGGTGAACAAACATGTGGACAAGGGGGATCCAATAGATATTGTTTACCTTGACTTCCAGAAAGCTTTTGATAAAGTTCCTCATCAAAGGCTCCTAAGTAAGCTCAAAAATCATGGGATAAAAGGACAAGTCCTTTTATGGATCAAAAACTGGCTAATTAATAGAAAACAGAGAGTGAGTATAAATGGGCAGTTCTCCCAGTGGAGGGGTGTAAGCAGTGGGGTACCACAGGGATCAGTACTTGGTCCACTGCTTTTTAACTTGTTCATTAATGATTTGGAGTTGGGAGTAAGCAGTGAAGTGGCTAAATTTGCGGATGATACGAAGTTGTTCAGGGTGGTGAAAACCAGTGAGGATTGTGAGGCACTCCAAAGGGATCTGTCAAAGTTGGGCGAGTGGGCGTCAACATGGCAAATGGGGTTCAATGTGGCCAAGTGCAAGGTGATGCACATTGGAGCCAAAAATCCTAACTATAAATACACGTTGATGGGGTCTGAACTGGCAGAGACTGATCAAGAGAGAGATCTTGGAGTTGTAGTAGATAACTCACTGAAAATGTCGAGACAGTGTGTGACTGCAATAAAGAAGGCCAATGCTATGCTGGGGATTATTAGGAAGGGTATTGTAAACAGATCAGCCAATATCATAATGCCGCTATATAAATCAATGGTGCGACCTCATCTGGAATACTGTGTGCAATTCTGGTCACCACACCTTAAAAAGGATATTATAACTTTGGGGAAAGTGCAGAAAAGGGAAACTCGAATGATAAAAGGGTTGGAACACTTTCCCTATGAGGAAAGGTTAAGGCGCTTAGGGCTCTTTAGCTTGGAGAAACGACGACTGAGGGGTGACATGATTGAGGTTTATAAGATTATGCATGGGAAAGAGCAGGTAGAGAAAGAGGTACTTTTCTCCCTTTCTCACAATACAAGAACCCGTGGGCACTCCATGAAATTGCTGAGCGGTCGGGTTACGGATAAGAGGAAGTACTTCTTCACCCAAAGAGTGATTAACACTTGGAATTCACTGCCACAGGAAGTGGTGGCAGCTACAAGCATGGACGGCTTCAAAAGGGAATTAGATAAGCATATGGAGCAGAGGTCTATCAGTGGCTATTAGCCACAAGCTATAGATAGGGACTCTGGGGCAAGTGATGCTCTGTCATCTTGGTGCTTGGGGGGGTCAACAGTGGGAGGGCTTCTAATGTCCTGGCCCCACTGGTGGACTTCCTGATGGCACTGGTATTTCTGGCCACTGTGGGATACAGAGTGTTGGACTGGATGGGCCTTTGGCCTGATCCAACATTGGCATTTCTTATGTTCTTATGTTCTTATGTTCTTATGTTCTTATGTTCTTATGTTCTTATGTTCTTATGTTCTTATGTTCTTATGTTCTTATGTTCTTATGTTCTTATGTTCTTATGTTCTTATGTTCTTATGTTCTTATGTTCTTATGTTAACCCTAGAGTTGGACTCGACTGGCTTTCGAGCAAGGGAACCTGATTAATCCCTTCCCCAGTCTGCCTGCTGGGGGTAAAACTGCAGAGTGGCAAGATAACAGGACACATGTGGGTGCCGGCCTCTACCTGGTCCCCTTGCCACTTGGTGGTGTAAACCAGCTGGCAGCTGGCTGGATTGTGATATTCTATTGAGAATTTCAACCGCCCTGCATTGCAGAAGTCCTGATGAGATACGGCTTATTGCCCTTCAGCGATTCTAGAGTGGGAGTATCTGTGGTGGGTTTGAGACCTGGCTTTGTGATATTCTATTGAGAATTTCAACCGCCCTGCATTGCAGAAGTCCTGATGAGATACGGCTTATTGCCCTTCAGCGATTCTAGAGTGGGAGTATCTGTGGTGGGTTTCCCCTTCTAGAGTCATATATACCCGTAGCTTTCTAGCTGGTAAGAGGGTTACTCTTTGTCCAAAGAGAAAACCCCACATGCATCAACCAGAGCGGAGCATCCAAAGACAGGTTTCCCTCTTTGTACTGTAGCATGCAAATCTATTTCTCCCCACCACCACCTTCCATATCTTGTGGGAAATATGCCCATAGCAGTCAATCCAATCTGGAAAAACTCATCCGTGGTTAAAAATCCTGTGTTCTCAAGCTAGCCGGGAGAGAGCCAGTTTGGTGTAGTGGTTAAGTGTGCGAACTCTAATCTGGGAGAACCGGGTTTGATTCCCCACTCCTCCCTGTGCAGCTGCTGATGTGACTTGGGTCAGTCACAAGCTCTGGCACAGCTGTTCCTGAAAGAGAAGTTTGTGTCAGAGTTCTCTCAGTCCCACCCACCTCACAGGGTGTCTGTTGTGGGGAGGGGAAGTGAAGTGTGGACACAACAGGAAGGGAAAGGAGTTTGTAAGCCGCTCTGAGACTCCAAGTGAAAGGTGGGGTATAAATCCAATCTCTTCTTCTTCTTCTTCT